GTTTGGTTTTTTTTGTTTTTTTTTCATTTAGACTGATGAACAATGGTAGTTTGGCTTCCTCTCTCTTTTTAACATAAGCACGTCATCAGTCTAAGAAAAATAGATAAGAGCTCTTTTGTTATCTGCTCCCAGTTTTGATGGATCTATAATAGTTTGTATCCAAATCTACAAGTTCTATTTCTAAATCAGTTCCTGAGAAATCGAACTTAAGCTTGCTATTCATAAAACTAGAATATGTTAAAATGTCTTCTTTGGCTTTTTTTTTTCCCATTTAAAAAATTGAAAAGAAAGCATGTTTGAATTGCTTATAATACTATCATCCTAACACAGCTATTTTCATTATCACATATTATTTCCTTGTCTTCAGCCACACTCACACATTTTTTTAAACAAAGGAATTTTATTACTTTTCAAAAAAGTTGTACTAGTTTACAGTCATCAGCATTGAATATAAGTGCTAATGAAAATGATGCAAAATTCAGCGTCAATATATTTTTTCTATAGTAAAGTATAAAAGGGATAACTAATTCAAGGATTTTTAGATATCTTTGCTAACATGGATGAATCTTATAATTATTATTTTTTTGGATGTGAATTTTCTATATTTTCTTCTGTGTTTGTATTGTAAATGTTGTAAGATATTGCCCATTAATATGTGGCTCTGAATTTCTTGAGGAATGAAGGCTTTGTCACTCTGAGGTTAAAGTAGATCAAAGGCTTTTCTCATACTGGTTCTCCTTTACACAAAAGTATCTTCTTTATTCAAAAGCATTTTTGTTTTTATGTGTAGATAATCTTGAGCAGTAACAAGTAAAAATTGTCTAAATCTGTTAAGGCTTTACTGTTAGCAAAGATATGAAACAAGGGAACTTGTTAGCCACTGCAAATGAGAGTATTAGTTAGTTTAGGCACCTTGGAAAAAAGTCAAAGTTTCACCCACTGTCCTACCTAGCAGTTCCACCTCTTGTGTGCAGGGAAATGTGCTAGAATGTCACAGCGGCATATTGCAAAGAGCACATTGGCAACAGCTTGGATGGCCAGCAGAAGGAGCCCAGATACATGATTTGTAGTATCTTCTCCATTTGAATAATTGAATACTACAGTATATATTAGATTAGATGTGGTATATGTCAATGGAAAAGAGCTCAAACTCAGTAAATAACTTAAAGAGGTTTATTCTGAGCTGAATATCCATGGCTGGGAGAGCTACGCCCAAGAATCCTTGAGTAAGTGGACTTACTGTGGTTGGGTTACAGTTTGGTTTTACACATTTCAGAGAGACAGGAATTACACATTAAAATCATAAGTCAAAAATCAGTACAAGGATACATTGGTTGGTTTGACCTGAAAAAAGCAGGACATCTTGAAGCAGAGCATTACAGGTTATAGATGAGTTTAAAGATTCTTTGATTTGTAATTGGTTAAAGAAATGGAGGTTTATCTAACTAAAGGTTTGGAATTTTGAGTTAAGAAAGGCTGCTAAGCAGAGACAAGCCGCAGACAAATAAATACCCAGACTCACCTGATGTGTTAAGTAAATGGATGACCTTCAGGTGTGGTTTCAGCTTTGTCTTGTATAGCCTTAGGCCTGTTAATGAATTACAAAAGATATATCCAAGAAGGGAAGGAGTAGGAGGAGGCATGTCTGACCTCCCTTCTCATGGCCAGCAGCTCAGCTTTAGGCTATTTCTGGGGTCCCCTTGGCCTAGAGCAGGGGTCCATTCAGTCAGCTAGAGGGCTTAAGATTTTATTTTACTTTATACATATATATGTGTGTGTGTGTATACACACACACACACTATAGCAATTGAATTGAACTTACATTCTGTGAAAAATGAAAGAATTAGAGCTATTTGTATGCATATGGGTGAATTACAGAAATATAGTATTGAACCAAGAAAGCAGGTAGCAGAAGAATATATACACCATCTCACCATTTGCATGTAAAAATTTTTTAAACTACAAAAGAAACACAAGAAGAAATGCATAGGAATGATAAGCACTGATTGGGAGGAGGGCAGAGAAGAGAAAGCCATCAGGGAGGGGCTCTAACTGTGGGCACATGGGTGTTTATCACAGCATACCATATACCTATCTATATATCCAGAATATTTCATGGTAAATTTCTTCTACAGAGTTGACAAGCAACTAGGGTAACTTACTTAATAGCTTCAATTATCTTAAAGCTAATAAAATTATTCATTAGATACAACCTAAACTTTCTTTTTTTAATTATTGAAAGTAAAAATTTACTAAAAGGTACTTATAAATAATAATCAAGAACCTTTGTCTATTCTGAGATCCCAAAGATTTTCTTTTAGGATATCTTGGTTTATAGTATTGCATTTTGTATTTTAAGTTTGTAATCCATTTCTAGTTAATTCATTTGTAGGGTGTGAAGTTTAGTTGAGATTTTTTAGCCTATGGATGTCCATTTGCTCTGGTACAATTTGTTGAAAAGACAAAGCCTTCTTCCTTCAGTTGCTTTTGTACCTTTGTCAAAAATGAGTTGGGGGCCGGGCATGGTGGCTCACGCCTGTAATCCTAGCACTCTGGGAGGCTGACGCGGGCGGATTGCTTGAGGTCAGGAGTTCAAAACCACCCTGAGCAAGAGCGAGACCCCGTCTCTGCTATAAATAGAAAGAAATTAATTGGCCAACTAATATACATAGAAAAAATGAGCCGGGCATGGTGGCGCATGCCTGTAGTCCCAGTTACTCGGGAAGCTGAGGCAGCAGGATTGCTTGAGCCTAGGGGTTTCAGGTTGCCGTGAGGGAGGCTGACGCCACGGCACTCACTCTAGCCTGGGCAACAAAGCAAGACTCCGTCTCAAAAAAAAAAAAAAAAAATGAGTTGGGCATATTTGCATGAGTCCATTTCTGGTTTGTTTATTCTGTTCCACTGATCTGTGTATTTCCACTAATATCATACTGTTTGATTACTATAACTGTATACTAAACCTTAATATCTAGTAAAATCATTCATATACTTTTTCAATAATTATTTTAGCTATTATAGGGTCTGTGCTTTTTCATATAAATTAACCTTATCTATGTGCATGAAAAAAAATCTTGCTGAGCTTTTGTGTTTTTTAATGCAAAATAATTTTTTTAAAATTTCAAAATTTGTAAGGGGGTACAAATGTTTTAGGTTAAATGGATTGCTTTTGTAATGCTTGAGTCCCACTATAGGTGTGCCTGTCACCCAAATAGTGTTCATTGTACCCATTAGGTAGGCTTTTGACCCTCCCCTTCTCCCCCTTGGTAGATTTCCACTGAGTTTTACTTCCCTCTGTGCACATTTGTGCTCATTGGTTAGTTCCAGTTTAATAGTGAGTACATGTGGTGTTTGTTTTTCCATTTTTGAGATACTCAGGAGAATGGTCTCCACTTTCATCTATTGCATGAGTTCCATTTCTGGGTTCTTTATTCTGTCCCACTGATCTGTGTATTTTCATTAATACCATGCTGTTTGATTACTGTAGATTGTTGCAAAAGGTATTAATTCATCTTCTTATGGCTGAGTAGTACTCCATGGTATACACATAACCACATTTTATTAATCCACTCATGAATTCATGGGCACTTGGGTTGATTCCATATCTTTGCAGTTGTGAATTGTGCTGCAATAAACATTCAAGTCCAGGTGTCTTTTTGATGAAAAGTCTTCTTTTCCTTTAGGTAAATACCCAGTAGTCAATAGCTGGATTGAATGGTAGGTCTACTTTTAGTTCTTTGAGGAATCTCCATACTGCTTTCTCTAGAGGTTGTACTAATTTTGGTCCCACCAACAGTTTATAAGCATTCCTTTCTGTCTATGTCCATGCCCAGCATTTATTGTTTTTGCACTTTTAATAAAAGCCATTCTAACTGGAGTAAGGTGATAGATATCTGATTATGGTTTTAATTTGCATTGCTCTGATGATTAGTGATGTTGAGCATTTTTTCATGTTTTTTGGTCTTTTGTCTTTCTAGAAGCTTCAGTTCATGTCTTTTGCCCACTTTTCAATAGTGTTGGGGGGGTTTTTTGCTGATTTGCTTGAGTACTTTGTAAATTTTGGACATTAGCTCTTTATTGGATGTGTAGCTTGCAAATATTTTCTCCCATTCTGTAGGTTGTCTGTTTGCTCTGTTGTTTCCTTAGCTGTGCAGAAGCTTTTTAGTTTAATCAAACCCCATTTATTAATTTTTGTTGTTGCCATGATTGCCATTGGGGTCTTAGTCATAAATTCTTTGCCTAGGACAAATATCTAGAAAAGTGTTTTTTATATTTTCGTCTAGTATTTTTATGGTTTCATGGCTTAGATCTTAAAAAGTCTTATCCATCTTGAATTAATTTTTGTGAGTGGTGAAATGTAGGGGTGCTGTTTCATTCTTCTGCATGTGGCTGTCCCATTTTCCCAGCATCATTTATTGAATAGGGCTTCTTTTTCCTAGTGTATGTTGTCTGCTTTGTCAAAAATCAGTTGCTTGTAGGTAGATGGCTTTATGTCTAAGTTTTCTTTTCTGTTCCATTGGTTTGTGTCTCTATTTTTGTACCATACCATATACTGTTTTGATTAATATTGCCTTGTAGTATAGGTTGAAGTCTGGCAATGTGATGCCTCCAGATTTGTTCTTTTTGCTTAAGATTGCTTTGGCTACTCAGGTTCATTTCTGGTTCCAAACAAAGTGTAGAATTACTTTTTCTAGATCTGTGAAGTATGGCATTGGTAATTTGATGGGGATTTCATTGAATTTGTAAATCACTTTGGTTAGTATGCACATTTTAACAATGTTGAGTCTCTAAATTTTTTTTTCTTTCACCTTGCTTTTAGTATGTTTTCTTTCTTTTATCCTCTGGAAAAACAGAGGATATCTTCAATCACATTACTTCTCTATTTTATTCATTTTAAGTTATCACATACGTCATTTTTAATGCATGTGATGTTATCTGGACTACTCCCTGATAATTCATTTGCTCAGGTGTCTGAAAATGTCACCCTTTCTCTTCCCCTGCAGGTCTTCACAACACTGTCTGTGACCAAGCGCTCTGGGGGAAGCATCCTCCAGGCTGGCTGCTGAGGTTAAGCCCCAGTGTGGATGCTGTTGCCAAGACTCCAAACCACTGACATGTTTCCTTGCCCAATCCAAGGCAAAGTTTTCAGGAAGGTTCTTGGGCTCCTGGCACCTGTGTCTTGTGCCTACCTCCACCCAAGGCCCCCTTGGATCTCCTGGTTAGGAATCAGTGAATGGAAGGCGGGCAGCATCACACTGGGGTCACTGACGGACTCGAAACTGACATCAGGCAGTGCATCGAAGGGATGCGTCCATGAAGTCACCAGCCTCAAGCCTGTGTGGTGGGCAGTGATGGAACAACTGTCGAATCAGTTTCAGCATGGCCTTTCCTTTGTTGGTTTTCTTATTCCCATTGTCAAGTTTTCTAACGTTGCTTGTTTTTTTTCTTTTTTCTCCATGATGTTAATGATATTACAGATGAAAAATATTAGCAATTGATTTTTATCCAAAAACAGGTCATGGCTCAAGTACACAGATAAGGCATCTTTTTGCATGGAAGGGATGGGTTGGCTCACTTGGAGACTACGTAGGCTTGTCCCGTCAAAGAGAACTGTCTTATGACTAAGATGGACTGTTCTACTTTACTGACCTGTTTATTAGTTTCTCCTCTAATAAGTTATATGTCCAAAACAAGCAAATCTATGATTGACTCTGGCCAAATTTGCCCCCATGTGCTACATCACTGATTATTTTAAGGTATGTTTAGGAAGGGAAATGGCTATTTGGCCAGACTATTTGAAGTCAAAGTCCACTGCATGGAACATGTATGTTTCCCACCATTGTTCATCACGGAGGCAGATGTACACTTGAAAATGGAGGAAAAACAGTAAATGTCTTACTTTATTTAGTGTATTATGTGTTGGTCTAAGTGAGCTGAGATCATTAGCCATGAAAAACACATAGCTTGTTTAAAACTCTTTTGTCTAGCTTTATGCTAAAAACACAAAATATCACAGCTTTATTTTGTGTGTGTTAGGTATCGATCTCTTCCTAAGAATTACCTTCATAGGAAAATAGGCCTTTTCATACTCGTGATTTAAATCTTTTGTGGTAATTGCTTTTTAAAGGAAGCTGTTAATATCATAAGTTATTATTATTGAACACAGGTGGATGTGAAGGATTTTCATTTAAAGACCAAGTGGTTTTGACTTTTTCTGTTGAATGAACGGCCATACTTGCTAAAGTGTTTGCAGAAGTATTTATGCTCTGTTAGTACTCCAACTTGTATTATTATAAAGACAATTAACTCTTCAGTTATATATTTCTATGTAAATGTACTGTGTAAGGATTATAAGTTGAGTTTTGAACATGTGCTGTGGATATCGGGCCTCCTGCCAGCAGTTGTTGTAGCTTCTTTTCTGTTCCCTTCCCTCCACCTGTATTTCTCGGCTACAACACTGAGTGGTTGTTTCAAGGTATATTTCTGGGCCACCTCAGGGAACCCATGTGTCTGCCTGGCATCTAGTCAGCAGAACAGCTGACCCTGTCCCACAGGACTCTGCCTCTTGTCCTTATCCCATCTGGTTATATGAAGGAAATGGGAAAAGAGAAGAGGGGAATTGAGGCAGTTGACTTTGTTATTTATTTTTTTTTAATTTGTTTTTTCTCCAAGTCTGCCAATCTCTGAAATTAGAACAATAGGCAGTATGAGATAATTGTGCCTGATCATGTTGTGATTCTCTCTTAGTGGAATGGGATGTTCTTGTCCCCACAAGAAGGATTATACTTTATAGACTTCTCTTGTTTAGGTTCTGTAATTGCCCAGTGTATTGAAACACATATTAAATTCCATGTATTTTTGTTACAAATCTTCTGGAAAAAAATGTGAAACATTAAAAGGTGTTAATATCCACATGTGTGGCTGTTTATTGGACAAGGGTCTTGGGATTATCTTCAAGAGTGTCCAAGCCCTCCAGTTTCGTGTTGAAGATGGTAAGAACTAGCTGCAGGCTTCAGTGACTCTGCTGTTAGGCCTGGTTGGTATCTGCTGAGGAAGACATGTCAGTGTTGTTGGTTTTTCTAGTTCCATTTTCAGATTGTCCTGATTTGACCTGTTGGCCTTTAGGGTCACAGGCCTAAAGTCACCCTAGAGACAGCATCACTAAAGTTTAGCTGGGTTTCCCAGTGCTTTGTGCAACCATGACTGCATAGTTCATTAACCCATGCAGTGCTGTGAAGCGTGTGTGATCCTTTCTTTGTCTCTGGACTGATCATAGATATATTAATACATTTTGGGTATAGTTAGACTGGTTCATTGCCATTTCCCAATCCCTGGAAGTATCAGGCACATATAGGTGTTCAGTAAATATTTACAGAAATGTTGGTTGGCATGTTCAGATTATTCACATGCACTTAATTTTCTTATGCATCAGTTGTTAAGCAGAAGCTTCTCTATTTTGGGTAATCCTTACCCCAAAAAACTTCCCAGTTTGTATTTTCTTTCCATCCTGAGTAATTGCAGGATGCTCACAATAACAGCTAAACAAGGTTCACTGTAATGTGCCAGACACTGCGCTTGACACATACTGACTAACTTAATCCTTATAACAACCCTTTTGTATCCATTTATAGATGGAGAAAGACCCAGAGGTACAAGTCACTTGCTCAGGATTACACAGCCAGGTAGTGGTGCGTCAAGTTTTTGAGGCCAGAGCTGGCAAAGGCCCAGCCTCTTAGTCACCTTGACATACTGCCTCCCCATTCATCTCTGACAGATGGGAGCTTTCAGGCTGCTGTGTCAGTTCCAGGGACTGATAATTTTTCCCATGCCATCAAGCAGTGCTGTCTGCATGTGTAATACCTTGTCTGAAATGTCCTAACACTTTTTCCTAACTGGTCTTTCCCACTGCCAGTTTACTTCCACGCTTTAGCTAGGATTTATTGCCCAAAATTCCCTTGTCTCAAGCCTGTGAGGGCTTCCCAAAACCTGCAGCTAAGTCCATAGTGCCTTACTAGACCCTGGGCCTGTCACCTGCAACTCTGACCTCTACTTTGACTTGCCTGTTCTGGCCACACCTGCAATCTGCCCCCAAAATACACTCTCTACTCCTAGCCGCCCTTAAAGATCACCTGCACTGGATTGCCTCCAACCCAGCTCTCCACCTTTATTATTCATTAGCAGCATACTCTGTAGTGTCTTTAGAGCTCTTTGAATTGCTCTGCATGGAGACTGGTGTGTGCCTTTGTTAGACTGGCAGGTAGAACCGTACCACTTGGGTCAGGACCTACCAGAGATGGCCATGTGGGGAGCCTGTTAATTTCTTCCTGTTACGTCAAGAATTTCCAGTTCAAGTGTTAAAAGATACAAAGGGCCTAAGCAAAAATGGTCAGCCTCACTTCCCCAGTGAGGGAAAATACAACTCAAATTGCAGTGAGGTATCATGCTTACTGTGATGGTTAATTTTGTCAACTTGACTAAGGGGTGCCCAGGTAGGTAGGTGGTAAAACATTATTTCTGGGGGTGTCTGAGAGTATTTCTGGAGGAAATTAGCAATTGAATCAGTAAAGAAGGTTACCCTCACCAATGTGGGCGGGCATCATCCAATCCTTGAGATTCCAAATCGGACAAAAAGCAGAAGGGTCAATTTGTTCTTTCAGTCCTTGTGCTGTGACATTCATCTTCTGCCCTGGGACCACACTGCTCTGGTTCTCATAGTCTAAAGCCTTCAGATTTGGATTGGAACTACACCACCTGCTTTCCTGGGCCTCCAGCTTGCAGATGGTACTGTGGGACTTCTCAGTCTCCCTGATCACAAGCCAGTCTCTCATAATAAATCTCTATATGTTATCTTTTTTGAGACAGGGTCTCGCTCAGTCACCTGGACTAGAGTGCAGTGGCAGTCATAGCTCACTACAGCCTTGAACTCCTTGGCTCAAGTTTCTGCCTCAGCCTCCTGAGTAGCTGAGACTATAGGTGTGCACCACAACACCTGGCTCAGCTTTTTAATTTTAAAGTATCAGTCTCACTACATTGCTCAGGCTGGTCTTCAACACCTCAGCTTCCTAAAGTGCTAGGATTAGAGGTGTGAGCCACCATGTCTGGCCAATAAATCTCTAAGTTTTATATACATATATATCTATAAAACATTGGTCTGGTTCTGGGAGAGCCATGATTAATACACCCACTATATTACAAGTTTCAAGAGTCTGACAGTTTCAAATGTTGGCAAATATGTGGAACAACCGGAACACTTGTTTTGTGCTGCTGGTGGTGCCAATTGGTACAATCACTTCAGAAAACAATTTGGCATTACCCAATAAAATATGTGTGCACGGTTTTTGGAGGTACATGTGTAAGCTATTGCACACTAGGTGTATATCCAGCACAATTGTACATCAATGCACCAAAAGACATGTACAGGAATGTCCATTACACTTAGCAAACAACAAAACTCCCAACAAAACCTGGGAACAGCATAAGTACCCATCAGCGCAAGAATGGGCAAATGAGTTGTGTATACACGAAGTTTGTAACAGTTCCAAACACATTGTAGTAACTTTATACATAATGTGGAGGAAAAGAACACACTGAAGTCCCACAGATTTCATTACTCTTCTGTCTCATCTTTACCATGGCAATTGCCTTTTATTTTTTAGTTTCCTTTATCTTTTGCTCTGATTTGCAATTGCCTACTAAATTTTTTCTCCAACCCGCCTTTTCACTCTTAATTCTGACCAAATCATGTAATAAATAATTGTCAAATTTTACCATATGCACACTTACTGTCTGCACAGTAAAGTTGTGTACTAAATGCTACACATGCATCAATTCATTCAATGCTCACGTCCACTAGAAAAGAATATTGCCCGACCTTAACTGGAGGTCCAGGCCAGGCACTCAGTGGGGTGCACCAATGGGAAAATGGGAAGGTGGGTCTTGGGCTCAGCGGGGAGGGAAAATGCTGGCCTCTGAGTTAGTTTCTACACAGAAAACTAGTGGGAACCACAAGATTGGTTAGTGTTGCTAAGATAGAGAAGGCTGGGCTGTTTCATACTCACTAAACATCATGAGCAAAAAGCCCAGTGTTTATAAAAACTTTTGAGACTTAAAAAAAAGCTTCAGAATATGAAGGAAGAAAACCAAACACAAGAAAGCTGAAATGGACAAATTTTTAAATGTCTACATAATATTATTTCAACCAATCAAATGCAATGGATCCAGTTCCTGTATATCTGCGAGCGAACTATATCCAAAGCAGGAAGGGTATGCATTTCATTATGTCTGAAATGATGTGGGCTCTGGAAGTACAAGTGCTTAGAGAAATGAAGACCTTAAAATGGCCATGAGAGAAAATGTAAAGAGAAGAGGCATCACTCTTGGGGCTGCAGGCAAAGAGAAAGACCTGCACATCCTTTCCATGCTTTCCATGCAGTGGTTCAACTAAGCTTGTAAGAACCTACAGAACTGGTGTTACACCTATTTTTC